TTACACTCTTCCCTACTCTGAAGAAATAAAAGGGGGGGGGGGTAGGAAGTGATTAATAGAGAGACAAAGGAAGATATAGTAAAGGGGGGGGAGGTGAAATACAAAAGGGTAAGGACAGACAATAAGGAACACACAGTTACAAGTTTAAGAAGGCTTCAACTTGTCAAAGGGTAGGAAAGGATTAATGAAGAGGCAAGGGAAGTATAGTAAGAGGGAACACATAGTTACTAGCCTAGGAAGGCTTTGACTTGTCAATGAAAACGTATAGGGACAAGGACTTTCAACAGAGTTGGTAGAAATGGTATCCCTGAGACAGATACAAGTTGAAGCAAGCTGTTAAAGAGGAACACATAGTAACTGGCCTAGGAAGGCTTTGACTCATTAATGAAAACATACAGAGACAAGGACAGGGACAAGGAGTACACATGGTTGAGACATGAAACTGTACTGCCAGGAATACATGAATGATACCTAACAGGTCTAGTGAGTACAGTGTTACTGTAGATAAGGAGAAGACAACTGAGACATTGACTAAAACACATGGTTGAGACATTAAACAGTACTGTGAGGAACACATGAATGATACCTAACAGGTCTAGTAAGCACAGTGTTACTATAGATAAGGAGAAGACAACTGAGAAGGTCTTGTTTGACTAACAGTAGGCTAGGTGTCAGAGGTGATCTAATCTCTTTAGTAGTGTGAGTAAAAAGGAGCATGAAAGTTAGAGTGTATAATAAAGAGAACTTGACAACTCTTCAGTTATACTAGCACCTGTTACTTAGGGGAGGAAAAAAATGATCAAAACACATGGTTAAGAAGTAAACAGTTATCCTCAGGCATGTATTAGTACTAGGAGGAGTAGAAGGGCTAGGTTGACAAAATTGACACACTAATTCTGAGAGTAATAAGAGTACAGGTAGTGTGTGAGTAAAACAGAGTATGTAGAGGTAACAGGGAGTCTGTTCATGAGGGGGACAGGACAGGACAAGACAGGACAGGACAGGACAGGATAGGACAGGATAGAACAGGACAGGAAAGGACTGGATAATACTAGTAGAGTATAATCCCTAGCTAGGTCTATAACTAGGAATGACACTAGTAGGGGCTTAATACCCTAGCTAGGTCTGAGACTGGAGGTGATACTAGTAGAGGCTCTAGATGTTCAGGACTAAGATTGACACTAGTAGAGGCTTGGTACCCTGACTAGGTCCACAACTAGAAAAGGGACTTTATACTCTAGGAAACAGGAGGTGACACTAGTAGAGGCCCTATATGTCTGGGACTGGAATTGACACTAGTAGGGGCTTGGTACCCTGACTAAGTCTATGACTAGAAAAGGGGCTTTATACTCTAGGAAACAGGAAGGGAAGGGAAAGGGACTTTATACTCTTAGTAGACAGTAGACAATAACAGTAAACACTAGACAGTGACAGAGTAAGAGATAGTATAGTAAGGAATAGACAGTCTTGACAAACACCTTGACAATAGAGAGATACACATTGTAGTAGGTACAACAAGCATACAATGAATATACTATAGTTGACAGTTTAATTGTAACATCTATTGTACTAAAAGTAGACACTATCTGTTAGTGTAGAACCTGTAGCTTCTAAAGAGAATTATGCTACAGTTCCAGATATTAGTAGTAGTATTAAGATAGTACTTTCTTGTACAATTTCAGGACTAGGACAGTAGGTCCTTCTATAGCTTGTTTCTTGACAGTGTTCTAGTAGAGCAATTGTATAGTAGCTCCTAATCTTAGTAGTAGTACCAAGATAGTGTTCTCCTTGAACAATTTGAGAAATAGGATAGTAGGGGCTTCCACAGCTTGTTTCTAGACACTAGCTTGAGATTGTAACAAGTGGCAGAAAGGTTATGAGCAAGAGCAAGTTTGTAGATAATCTGCTTAAAGTAGTATAGTAAAGTATATTCTTGAGTAGTAGAACCTTAATTGTAGACAGCTGACCAGACTCACAATAATGTGTAATGTATGTAACTCTAGCACAACCACACACACTCTTCTTAACACCTTCTCCTAGAATCCAGGGACCAATCTGATAAGGGTTTGCTGAGAGAGGGTGGTACAGTAAAAGTATATATTCAAGTAGTAGAATCTTACTTGTAACCAACTGACAAGACTCACAATGAGGCACAATGTGCACAACTCTGGTACAACCATATACAATCTTCCTGACACGTTCTCCTAGAATCCTGGGACCAATCTGATGAGGGTCTGTTGGGAGATCAAAGGTGGGCTGGCAGATAGTAATATTCTCCCTATGAGCCTTCAAGAGTGAACAGGAATTCAGTATAGCATTCATAAAGTTTGTGATTAACTAGAGTATTACTGTAGGGTACTGTAGGTGTGCAGGAGATAGTGGACGTGTGGGGGGAAGCTGGGGGGGGAGGCTGACAATCTGGTAGCACAAGTGAGTTCTTGAGTAAGGCTCCAGCCTTTACACTTTTTTTTGAACAGGCAAAGACCTGGGATTGGAGAGGTCAACCTAAGTACAGGAGCAAGTACAAAGATAATCTCTAAGTGTCTACAAATAGCCCTTTATATACTTAACTAAAGTCATGTGTGTAACCTCAGAGGTTACAAAGTATTTGACCTGTTTGTACTGTAAGTACTAGCAACAATACACTTTGTAAGAAACAAAACCTCCTTGTCCATTTGCAGCACTGTGTATAGTGTTAGGAACAAGTCAAATGTAGAAGATGGCCACACATACTAGAATAATAGACTAGTAGAGTTGTAAGTGCAACCATCAGGAAAAAGTCATATTTCTTATAATATATTGTAGACTTTGTAAAGTAACATAAGTATTGTATGTATATTATAAAGTAATTAAAAGACTTGCAAATCAATTGTAAAGTTTGTATAAGACATGTTAATGTATATAAAGGCTAAGTAAGTGTTATGGATGAATACAATCTATTGCAAGTATTATACTAACTTTGTATAATAGTCTAAAGTATTATGCTTACATTACATTTTTATTATAATTTCAAAGAAAGAATTATATCTATAATATAATAATGTAACAATAACTATTGTTGCCTTATAATTTATGTAAAAGGTATATTAATGTATATAATAGTGTAAGAGCACTTGTTATATCATTATTATCTTAATAAAAGTATACTATAAGTATATAATATTCACATCAGTGTGTTTAGAAAGCTATATACATGTCATATTACTTTTTACTATATTACAAAGTAAATCGATAATTTTATTTTATACCTAAATACAATAATTGAATTGAAATGTTCTATCAGTTGACGACTCATATTACCGTTGCTTATGTAATCAATTGCTGAAGATCGAGAGCATATAATGACGCATTTCTCTTCGTCACTCCTTTACATCCTACCTTCACTATCTCCCCAACCCTCCGCCCCCAACACTATGTCGTCGCTTCTGTTCTCTGAGTCTAGTCAAGTCCTCCACTCGCAAGCGTCCTACCAGCGGGCACTCTGCCTGCTACAACATAGGCAATAAACATCACTGCACTTGTCTCTCTAATCTGCTGTTGCGATGCCCGCACTGAGCCTCAGATCCCACGCTGATGCCACCGAGCTGACTACACCGTCCTTCAACATAAAGCGTAAGCAGCCAGTCCCTTCATAATAGCCTGCACAATAGTTGCTCATCCCTCTCCTCCCAACTTTTTGTCTCCCTTCCATCCCTTCTGCTCCTTGCTCCGCCTCTTGCTCCGCCTCTCCTTCGTTGTCCTCCTTTTTTTCACGTTCCTCTTCCTTTTTGCATTCGCATTCGCGCTTCCGCATTGTTGACCAATGCTGAACGACTTCTTCAATAATTCCATGTATTCACGTTCTTCTTCCTGCTCTGCAGCGCAAGCAACAATCGACGAGCACATGCGAGCACGCTCGCGACAATGTCCATGTCGGATCACTCCCAAGGCACAATCCTCTCTCCGACCCCGTGCGTACTCTCCTTCCCCACCCACCATT